TATATAGATAACACTAACATAAACATTTGGTGAAAATTTCAAGTATTTCAAGTGATTAGTTTTTGAATTACAACCATATAAAAAAATCGATTTGGTCAAAAACTGGTTTTGCGTAAAAATTCCCGTTTTTTTTTTTTTAATCAACTGTGAAAAGCTAAGTTATATCAACATTATCAACTGTATGTCTGTATATTAAATTAGTTAAGGTCATAAGCTGATTAGAAAATAAACTAACTAAGTTTAAAAGTTTATAAAAATAACATTTTAAATTAGTGGCGGTAGTACGGTACTTGATAAATCGTATTTTGAATAATTGAGATATTTCATTCGATTACGTTGGAATACATGTAAGAGCTTGCGATAAAAATGTCTTATCATTTTTCGAACAACTACCCTGTACCCATTTGTTTTGTATAGACACAAGGAACCTTAAATCTATTAAATATAGTTATTTTTTTAATTGAATTACATTTTTATTAGATAATATTAGATACCTACATATTTATTTATAATTTTTATTTTACGTGTTATTTACTGTTTTCTCGCAGATCACACACCAAACCTTAAAATGTCCGGTAGATCACACGCTTTACTATAATGCCAAACAGTCCATTTTTGTTATTACTTGAATATAATTACTTTTATAAATGGTTTCAGATGAAAATTGATAACAATATAACTATTTAAAATATGTTGTTATTGTAAAACAAAAACATAAAAAAAAAAATGATTTACATATTATTTATAAAACATTATGTTAATTAAAATTTTATATAGATTTAAATTACAACTATGTAAATTCTTGAGCCTCAATCAGCCCTCCCCCCTTGGCCATTGGTGAGTGAYAAAACCCGTCCCTGCATACAAAGCCTATGATGGGCCCTGTCCCCTGAATAATATTCTTACATTTAAATTTATTAAAAAGACGCAGTCGTACCCGCGTATATGTTGTCTCTGTCTTATACTAACACATAGCACACCTAAATGAACGACTTTATAGCATTTAAAATTTTGTAGGTATCGTCTGATTAAATATTAGAGTGAATTAACGAATTAACCTATTATCAAACTTTAATTTTACCAAACTGTGTTAGGTATCTATCAGGACCTAACGAATAATAAATCCAACTTCTGCGTTAGGAATGTAAAACTTTATTTGACAGTTAAAAACCATGAACCAACACTTATAAATTTACTTATACATCTACACTTTTGACACGAGTTAAAACGACGCAGCTGAGATTGACACAATTCGCCAGAACGCGCTAAAATACCAACTGGTTAATCTCACTAGGCCTAAGCATCAGCAGGACAGGAGGCAACAATTGTATCGCTCCTAAGTCCCTAGTGGGAGTTGACAAATGTGAGAACATTATATGTGTGTGTTCAATCGTCTTGCAATATATTTWTTTTTATTATTTTTAAGTGAGTTTTTAGTATGTAATACTATGTATTAAGTATTAATATTTTAAAATGCTCATAGCTCACTTACTACAAGTTTAAATATCATGGACTTTTGAGTKGTTGAGTTTGAGCAACACATACTCTTAATTTAGCATTTAAATGAGACGACTCAAACGAGCATAGTTATAAAATCACCGTGCATGTATTAAAAGKAAAATACAATAAGCATAGTTTCAAACCAAATCAGGCCAACACACTAATCATTTTTCATTAATCATTATATATTATTGTCACCAGTTCAATCAAGCACAGCTACTTCAGAACGCTGTTCTACATGTACTCGTTCATATTTTTGGTGTTTCGGACCACAGCAGTYGTGATGCAAGCATCCGCTATAAACGACGAGAGCAAAAAAATTGTACCGGAAATTTTCATGTGTCCGACGCATAGTTATAGTATAGAAGTATGATTTTAAAACGCTTTTCACTATTAATATTTAAATTATTTTTTAACTGAACGTGTCTGGTCGTCACGATATTGAATAGTTTTAAATTACTTAGTGTACAATTATTTATCATATTGTATAAATCAGTTTTAGATTCTGAGCGGAGCGAGAAATGCATTGATGGGGGGTGAAAAGTAAAAAATTTTAATACAATGTTTTTCTAAATAATCGGGATAAACAAACTAAAATTTAAGGGAAAGACGGGACATTTTACGCACAATTAGTTTTCGACAAAATAGATTTTGGTTTTTGATGTAACTTTAAAACAAATAACCATAGATATATGAAATTTTCATAGAATGTTTATAGAAGTATATTCTATCCACCATGAAATTTTCAAACTTAAGCTGAACTATTCACAGGCATATGCAATTTCAGATAGAAAAGCTTAAAAAT